TGCTTCGATTGGAAGAGTACAGGGCATATCTACATACATGGCGATACTTTTCCAGTTGCGGTATGAAATTTCACGATTTTACAAAAAGGTGTTGTCACGTATGAATGTATTTAAGATGTTTTTATACTCATAATTGTATTTTCACATTCTATTGTTAGTTCAAATAAGCCATGTGAAATGATTATGATTAAATATCTAACGCAATGAATTTCTAATTATTTTTGTTTGAGATTCCTTTTACAATCTATTAATTTCAATTAAATATATCTAGAATTATTTGGCATCGCTGTAAGTCAATATCGTCCACAACTAAATGATCCAATATTTCAGTAACATATTCAATTGAATTAAATCGACAAATTTTACAAAACGAATGAAAAAGTAATATCCAATGCGACAAAAACTCTCGTAACGAAATTTGAAAAATGCCCGTGAAGATTAATATAAAATATACATTGTGCCAAAAAAAAAGAGAATCAGCGTAACTATGTTTCTCTTTTTTTTTTTTTTTCAATTCTCTACAGCAGTATGTTACAACTTATGGACCGTGAAATGATAGCTGCTATTTTACGTTAAAGCAGGGAGGAAAGTGATTAATTTACAAGAGATAATTCCAGATAGTTCTCGTAAAATGTTTTTATGAAATCACGAGAATCACACAATAACAGTAGTATCTTTAAAATGATATACAGTATCTCCAGTCTACCTGGTTCTTAAAAATTTTTAATTATAAACATTTATGCCAAGGTATCATTACAAACAAATGTGTTAAATCGCATACAAAAAAAAAATTTAGAAACTTTGCTCTGAAGCACAGCGACAGGGAATATTCGATAATATTAATATAACCATTCGAAATAAAATTTAACAGTACATTTTTGAATTTGATGAGAGATCTGTATTTTTAATTAAAATACGACGAAAAAGTCTGGGAGATAAGCTGAACGATTATTACTCTTTGGTTTTAATAAAATTCCTGTGTAATTTTTCGATTTTACATCATTTTACATAGACAGAATGCATGGTTACTTTTTTGCAACACAAACGCAATTTCTACTTTTCAATATCTTTCCATTTACAACAAAAATATCAGAATCAAATGTGTAGCTTTTCGATAAATCGTTCTGGCAAGGCTTGGCCCTGTGTTTCGTGTTAAATGGAAATCCATACTCTTAATTAAAATAAAACGAGCGAGAAGTAAAAGCGGATGATAAAACGGAAAGTCGATTCGGATAAAATCGTCGATAAAATCTGATCCGGAAGGAGAGGACAGATTGGAGATGAAAGAGAACGTATAGTATATCGTGCGAAGCTTTTACACGGTACGCGTTTATGAAGCTCGGGATTTGCAATTAAACAAAGAGCTTGAAAACCGTAACGTCGTCGAGAGCAGTTTTGGCACGTTGATATCTCTTTATCTCTCTTTCTCTCTCTCTCTCTCTCTCTCTCTCTTTCTCTCTTTATGTTTCATTTTATATATCTCTATCTTTCTTTCTCTTTCTAGCAGGTGATTACATAGAGTTGAGTCCGCGGCACTACCATTTCAATAACATAAATTGCCTCGTGCAGAGATTAAACATCTCGTAGTAGTGGCCGAACTTCGTACTCGGACGAAAATTCAAACCGGTGAACTACCGCGGCAACCGCCTTTTAGTTTCACTTGCGTCCCGAAATTTACGTGCAACGCATGGCTCGCGTTCTCTGTCTGCGGTTACCGATTCGCAGACGTGCCGAGAAGCAAGTTCTCTTCTTCCTCTGATAACACACGCACCCCTCTTTGCCTTTATACCACCACCACTACTTAATCTCCTCCTCTTCCTCTTTCTCGTTCTCCTCCTTCTCCTCTTCCTTCTTCTCCTCCTTCTCGTCCTCCTCCTCCTTCTCCTTCTCATTCCTTGTCGTCGTCTTTATCGTCGTTAAGTATTTTAAGAATTTCTCGTTTTCTACCAGTACCTGTGGTGAACATTGAAACGAAATGCTCTTTTCGTTGAGACCGACGTTCTTTCGCAATCTTTTTATGAGCTTATCAAAATCCTGTTCTTTACTCGATCGTCATTTAGAAATTAAAAAGAATCAAGCAAAAAAGAACGATTAGTCTCGAACTTTCCCATTTGATCTACTTTTTATTTGATGCAGTTGATTAGCTTGGTTTTTAAGAGAAATTGGAATAGTTCCGCTACCCTGAAATAAAAACTCCATATTTAACGAAAAATCGCCGATCGATCGGACGTTGATTGAAGTAAAGACTGATTAGTTGATAGAGAAAGAGCGATCGTTAATTGAGACGCGTTCGAGCGTAAACGTACTACAGGGATAGATAATTCGTGGTGGTGCTTTTGCTTCGTTCTCACGAAGGAGGATAGCGGAATTCGATGAAAACGTAGAGATAAAAGAAAAAATAAAACAAAAGAAAGAGAGAGAGAGAGAGAGATGCAGGGAGGAAGAGAGAAAACATAAAAGAAGCGAAAAGAGAGAAAGATAAAAAAGCGAAAGGGAGAGAGAGAGAGAGAGAAAGAGAGAGAGAGAGAGAGAGAGAGAGAGAGATAGCGAGGTAAAAGAAGCAAAAGGAAGAGAGAGGAAAATAAATAGAAACACGGTGAGAAAGAAGAAAGAGTCCTGTTCGTGCCTAAAAATGATTATCTTAGGAACGTAAGCGTGTTAATATACATATGTATATATAGTACCGACGTATATGGTGGTCTACTGGTAACTGGAATTACTTCAACATCTCTCTAAATATTATCTACAAGAGAAAAGATCTAAAATATATGAACTATTAACAAAAAGAGAATTATATAACGTAGGAGCTGTTTAAGTTTTTTTATTACTTATTATTATTGTCAAGATTTAAAGTTATTTTTTAATTTTTTTAATCTCAATCTCAATTTCTTTTCAATAAAAGAAAATATAAATAATATAAAGAATTCACTCATATTGAATATTGTCTTTATACTTTGGTATTATCTTTATCGAATTCATTTCAATTATATTGTTCAATTTTATAAATTATAAAACTTAGGCTAATATAACAATATATGTTTCAAACTTCTGCATTATTGTTAATATTTACAGAGATATTGAAATGGTTCCAGTTATGAGTATCACCCTGTATATTGTGCTTTGTAAAAGCCCCCATTAATTTTCGTGGTGTCTCGAGGGCAAATGCTTGTGCCACGTCGTACTGGCCGCGGCAACCCTACAGAAGAGGCGAATGTAAACCGTTTATAAGGAAGGGAGAGAGAGAGAGAGAGAGAGAGGGATAGAAAGAAAGAGAAGAAAAAGAAAGAGAGAGAGAGAGAGAGAAAGAGGAGAATGTTATTCGATGAAGACTAGCGTTCTTCTATAACAGGAAACTTTGTCGGTCTGAGTTTATTACAGAGTTTCATGCAAGATAGAATATTAAAAAAGGCAGGTATACATTGAACCTTGAACGAAAGCTGTTGCTGATGAAATTACTCGATAGATCTTATCTTCTGTCGAAAAACTCTTAACGTGCTATTTACAATGTAAATGAAGAACATATTAAAATATGTTAGATATAATTTATAAATTATGATTTAATTTGCAAAAATATTTTATTATATTTGTTTACTAAAAAAAAACTATTGATTTTTTATTTCTAATATTATACATTATATCATATTATATAAGCAAAACACTTGTAATCATTATTTTTATATTCAGAGAAAAAGGAATTTGTGTCAGAAGTTGCCTCAATTGATTTACATACGTGTGGACGTACGTTGTGCCAGATTCGACGATACGTTCGTTTCGAGTTCGCATTAACGTTTCAGGATCTATCTTTGTAAAACGAAGAAGAAGAATGAAACACGTTTATTTTCACTTCCTTCAGCGCGAAAGTAGAAGAATATTTCTTCGGTTGGCGAGAACTACAGAGAAAGGAAACGAACGTGTCGGAGATCCGTTGCATCGCTTTCGAGCATCGCCGTTAATTCACGCTCTCTCCTGCAATAAATATTTTTAACGCTTACTATACAGCTCGCCATTTAATTACCCAAAGTATTTTATTCCGTTACATCCGTGAGCGAAAGAGACTTTCCCATTTCTTTATTAATTTATATATATTATTCTTTTTTTGATATTTTTCTCATTTTAATTTTTTCTTTATCGAATTATACATTATGTATTTATATTACCTACCTATTACTTCAAGTATATGCAAATAAATGAAAGATTAAAATGTCGCTACTTTTCCATTTATTACTAAAGTTCCAAATTACTAATGTTCGACAAAACAATAATATAACAATTTCGGTAATTTAACTAACTTTCCAATTATATTACAAACCAAAGTTATCAATAAATTTATATCGTTCTCGTTATCGACATATCTTTATAAATTTCAGAATGGAGTGCTTTGCATGTTCATGAATTGTAGCCGATAATTAACACGATCTATTAATAACGTTCTTTGTTAATGTACCTATCATTAATAAGTACTACTCATCGTTTGTTCCAAATGTATTTCATGAAATAAACATAATTGATTCAGTAGTAATAGAATAACATATAGTCAGACTTCGCCGCAAGACATTCGTTTTGGCAAGAAGTAGACGACAAGTGTTTAGTGCGCAATGGAAACGGTTTTGTTGCGAGAAAGTGCGAGCTTCCAATGTTTACGGAGATTGGAGCAATCGACAAAACCGTCGGGTCGTTGTTCGTAGTGATTAGTATCGGTGTTTCAGAAGTACAAAGCGTCTCGGTTTGGCCGGTATTAATTTTGGATCTACCATTGCATTGTTTTTACTTAAACTACCAAGTTTCTTGTTCGAAGATAACGCTCAATTGTTGATGATCTATTATATTGCTCAATGGAAAAATTCAAAAAGAAAGAAAGAACGCAGAAAAATAGAAGTTAGATCTGGATCGTTCAATTAATTAATAATTATAATAATTTTATATATTATTTTTGCTTTGTAAGTGTTTCAAAAGCAGTTATATAGAAATAAAAATATCCAATACGATACACTTTGTTGCAGTTAGTAGCATCGAAGGATCGATCTTCAACATCATGAGAGTGAACCGGTTACAGATGGGAGCGTACCTTTGTATCGCTTCAAACAGCGTTCCACCTACCGTCAGCAAGAGAATTATGCTTATAGTACACTGTGAGTATATTTAATGAGGAAACTTTAGCCTCGACGAAGGAAGCTTAATCCTTAATCTTATAGATCATTAACTATTCTAAAATAGTAATCATAAACGTATGTTTCGTAACCCGATAACATAACTCTGCTATTAATTCCTTATTTAATGATCAAGAATTAAATATTGTATATATATATATATATATATATATATATATATATAGCATATAACTTAATGATATAGAGCAGGATATAATGTAATATAAATACATTTTACGTGGGTGGAAACGTAGAGGAGATTTCGAAAACATTTCTTTTTTTTCCAAAGGGAACCTACTTTTTGATTCTGATAATACATTATACGCAACAACGTAAACATTATGACAATTTACGACATTACTTGGAATATCAGACAAATAACAGCGTAATCAATATGAACCTCACTCAATGAACTTTATCCGAATTGATGAATAGAACGTGGAGGACCAGTTTCGTGATCAGCTCGTTCTCAAGACATAATCCCATTAGATTTCTTTCGCTGAGAAGCACTCAAAAATATTTTTTATCGAGAAATACTGATTACATCTGAAAATATGAGACAACGAATTACCAGAGCATGTACTGGAATAAATTTAGAAATGATAAGACATACTCATGATTCAATAATAAAACGATTGGAGCTTTGTATTAATATGAATGATCGAATATCTTCTATAATGTAAGAAAATTTATTTTACCATCACATTTAATCTTGAATTATCATTAATGCTAAAATCGCAACATCAATGGTTCCCATTTAAAAGAAAAAGGATGATTTTAAAATCTTCACCACATCTTTATCCATGTAAAAAGTATTAATATTACATTATGTCTCCCTCCATATCATTCAAGTTTTGTATATAACATGTTTCCATATTATTATAAATAATGAAAATATTTTAAATAAAGTTTTTGTTCCATCCTATATATACATACACATATATATTTTACAATGATAATAATTTATAAAACTCGTTTTTGTGCATTTAACATTTTTATACTGGAACGACAATGAATTTTTTAAATACAGTTCTTGTGTCATCGATATTTTTGTTCTTTTTATTTTTGCTAACAATTAATGGATTCGTTAACGAGTAAACGAACGTAACGAATACTTCAAAAATAGTCTTTTTACTCAGTGTGTAGGGAAATAAAATACCTTACAAACATATACAAGAGTTATTTTTCAAAGCTGGCTTAAATTTGATCGAAATACGAACATTTGAAAAAAAAAAAGTAAATCCTCTGAACGTGCATACTACTATTTAACCAACATCGAAAGATTTACGAAATCACATTCTTTGAAAGGACATCGTTCGCATGTAATCTCCAACGATGGAATGAACTAGTTATACGTTTGTCAATTGAGCACTTAAGCATATATCTAGCACGAGTAAAATGTTTGAAAATTCATTCGTACTCTCTTTGAAAATTCTCTTTTCAAACGAAACGATTTGTTCAAAAATGTTTGAAAAACTGTCAAAATATGTAAAAAAATCCTTTAACATTAATTATTTTGTTAATAATTTTTACAATTTTTGTAGAAAAAAAAGAAGCTATTCCAATAAAAATTTGAAAAAAAAAGACCAATTTCGATTTATCAAAAAACGTTGATATACAACTCGATTAGTTGACTTCTTGAAATTCAAATTAAATTTCAAAACTATCAGATGGAAGGTTATTTGAATACAAAAAACACAAGTATATACTATCGTCAGTAACTAGATACGTCGACAATGCGAGTCAAACGACTCGGTACGATGCTTCGATCGATGTCATCGTGAGAATTCGTCGATGCTTTGACATCGAATCCGCAACAGGCATACCTTTTCGTCCAAATAACGTGTCTACTCGCTCTCAATCGCGAGCATTCGAAAATACAATTCAACGGAGTTGGTAGTACCTTTTGCTTGGTACAAATAGCAACCTACGATAGATCTTTTTCTCTCTCTTTCTCGTTCAAATTGCCGAAGGTAATTCAAACTTGTTTTGCTTGTTTGACTTTTGACCTCGACTTCTGAAAACTACACCGGAGGAAAGTATGTTTCGCACGATGGAGAGCACGACGGAAACGAAATTTTTCAAAACCGCTCTAATGAACTCCGAACGATACGTGAGATTGTAGAAAATTTTTTAAAACTAGCGAAAATAAGGAAAATAAATATAAGAGATATGACGATATAGATAATACAACATCTCTCACGCGAAGAATCAATTTCCTTTCTACGTTTGCATGTTGTGTGTCGTCCTATAAAATCAAACCGTCATCCATTTTTTTCGTCTCAACACTCGCATGTACTTTTCATTGATACCTTTCACCCTTTCGACAGTTCCTCCAATGATATGGATCCAGAATCAATTGGTGGGAGTGCAAGAGGGACAGCAAATGACGTTGGAATGTAATTCGGAGGCTTTCCCGAAATCGATCAACTATTGGACAAGAGGAAATAATCAGATTGTACCAAATGGTAATATATCATAATTAAATAATTTTTAATATTAGAACGTTTATAGTGATTTTTGATACATGTCGTTCTCTTTCGAAAATACTCTTTCGACTTTAGTCTTTAGACTTTTGATTTTTGATTTTCGACAGATATCTCTCGACTGTTATTTATTAATTACTGATTATTGTCTTAGTATTGTCTTGAGTATGATCTGTCATTGATACTATGCGATACAGAAAGAAGTAAATATTTGAGAACATCCATGATTTAATTACAGTAACATACTACAATACACACTCATTGTTAGTTCGACAAAATTCAAAAATTCAATATTCAACAATCCAATATCTATAGAAAATTGTTATGAATTTTTGGAACAATATCATCTCTTATTATATATTACAGAATGTGATACATACGATGGTATCTGATAGAAGCATTAATAAATAAATTGAATAATAGGTACCATCAATAATACATATATCTCATTAATTATCGAACAATTGGAAAAGCATAGGCATACGTACATATATACATAATTATATGGAATAATTAGATGAGATGTGTTCCGTGGAGGAGAATTCATGCAGTAACTAGTCAGAATAATGTATCTTCGAACCCATTAATGCAGCCGACTGCTTTCGACCGCGAATGCAGATGCAATAAGAACGTGAGATGCACGTTTCGGCTTACTAATCGTGCAGCTAATTAGTTTAATTTCAAGCCGCTCGCATTTGGATAATGTTTTTCTTACAAGAGATCGATAACTCAAAGGATATACCTAAATTGTCGTTATCTTCCAAGTTCTCTCATAAATTGTAGGTCGTAACTTAAGTTCAAATATACATTTATGCCAATTTTATGATTAATTATGAAGATCTTCTTATTTTTTTCCTCTTTACTAAGTTAAGAAAATAATTCAACGTTTTATATACAAGAGCTAACTTACATATTAGCTTAATGAAATAAAATACGAATTTCGTTTTGTATTCGTTAAAACCATTCTTTAAAATTTACGAACATCATGATCTACTTTGCTATCGTATGATAGTAATTGCATCTATTTACTTGAAATCTACGACATTCTCGTACTATAACACGATACGAGATATAGCTTAAATTCTTTCATTTATCTACACATCCGTGATATATCTTTCTTTTTACTTGATATCGATATGCAGGATTTAAAAATTGATCGAAGAAATAAATATATTCGGAAATAAGAAATTCTTAAAAGAAATTGAATTTAATATAATTATAATATGGAATGTCAGACGACACAAATGAAAAATTAAAACATTGAATGGTGAATTAATTTTGTATAATTTGTTTAGAACGTCGAAATGAAATTTATTATACATGTAAGAAAGAAGAGAAGGGAAAGCTAATATAAAAACTTCCTAAATTCGTCTAGGCTGACTTTATTAAATGAAATTGAATGGCGAAATATTTCCCGTGATGAATGCGAACATAATGCACCAGTCTCGCTTTCGTTCTTTTAGCTTACAGATTCACTCACACAAATACATATATGTATGTATATATATGTATATGAATATCCACATGTAGCGTTTTTTCTTATTTCAACTAATTGTAAGATCACACGCATATTCGATATCTTCTTTTTGTTGATACGACATAGTAGTGATCACATATTAATATAAGAAAATATCAATACAATATACCTAACATTTTTTTCAACGATTTCATACTAAAAAAAAATGGTAATATTCTGTGAAGGGTTTCGATGCACTTTATCTCTTTTTGCTATGTTTCAATTGCTATGTTTCAATGTGTTTGTAACGTTTATTTAAAAATAAAATATTTTAAATACTGTATAATGAATTAATTAATTCACACTATTAATATAACATTAATGATATTAAAAATTTTAATACATATTACCATTTAATATGATTAAAGTACTTCTACTAATATTCGTATCGTTGGTCACTGCTAACATTTAAACATGATAACACAACTACTTAATAAATAATTTCCGCGAAATCTTACAATTGACTGTATCATTTAACTTTACTGGCTTGTCAATTGTTTTTAAGGCTATTTGCAACGCACATATCGCACGCAACAATTAGCAGTGTATGCCTTTGTTCGCGGCAATAATCGCGAAAACCGTCCCTTCATACATTCCTACGTCGAGCGACGAATTATCCGGAGAAGCATTCGCGCGTCAACCGCATCGTGTTTCTCCACCATTGCAATATTACCATCCCCGACATGTTTTACGATCTAAATGTTCTACGGATGCCTGCTCGTATTTCTGTAATGCACATTCAGTACATGTGAAACCGCACGAGACGATATCAAAACTCGAAGGTGCAACTTACAAATGCGTTTACCTCTACGTAATAAACGAATTTACGTTCGACTTATCGCTACACGCTCGATGAGACATGATTACGCGGACAATAGTACATGTACATATATATATATATATATATATATATATATATATATATATATATATATATACATACACAAATACATACAGAGACACACACACATATATATACCTTTTCTTTTAAATATATATATATATATATATATATATATTTATATATATTTGTGAATAAAGCACAGTGGTGTTTCCTACGAAATTTTAAAAATTTCTTTTTATCCGAACGAAATCAATCAAATAATTCGAATCGATATTATAGATGAAAAGTTGGTCAATTTTTGAATGTTTTTTTTCCATAGTAATCGATGTATCGTATATTTACTATATTACAGATAATATTGATGAGAAGGTTTGTTTTAATATTTTTCTAAATGTTTTACAATTAGTTTTTGTTGGAAGAAAGTGGACAATTTAAAAAAATCAAACAATATACCTAAATATACTTTATGTGAAAAAATTTAAATAAAATTTATTTATCATTTCGTTCTATTATGTAAATAATATGATTAACGAATATAAAAGCAAAAATAATTTCATCGGTACAATTTCAATATCTACGTTTTCGGTTGACTAGGAGAAATATGAAAAAAAATTATTGGTTGAGAACACAGGATTAAATGTTTATATCGATCGGAGGTATTCATTGAACAGTGTAATTTAATTAGTCCCCCTTTTTTTTTGCGTACGAGCACAAAAGATATTCATAGCCACGAATTTCGTTATAAAACGATGAATATTTCGGAACAATTATGCAGAAGAACGACGCTAATAATAATTCTAGTCCACTGAACATGAAAAAAAAATTTTACGGGCAATTGGTTATAATTAATTTTCGTTAAAAATCTTTACGAAATAAGAAAATAATTTTTATAGAGAAGTTAGTTTATATACCCTAACATTTTATCAAATATAATTTCTGAGTAAATATAATGTAAATGTAAATTCGTCCATAATTATAATATATTTTATTCTATCATTTCTTCTTCAAATTAAAATAATATATTAAAAAGTATTGATTTTATCTCTCCAAATGTTATAGCTAGAGGGAATGTCTAATTATAGCTAAAGGAAATTAACAAGTCGATTTGTTATCTAAAAAATACAAATTAAAAAATTACTCATCGATCATACAGTGCCTTTAAGAAAATAATAAAAAGATTGGAATTGGTGATAATCCATTTACAATTTACGATGCAACGTATATTAGCTTATTTTCATTCATATTAAAGCCAATAAAAATCTATTGCTTTTGATATATGAAAATCTAAAAAAAATTTTATCTTCATTCCTCGAAAAATTAAATCCGAAAAAATTGTTTTACCGGAAAACAAGGAATCTCTGATCCCGATCGTAGTGCTATTAAATGATATGCGATAGGATGCGACAAAACGTTGTCACGGAATAGAAATTTAAACGAGCTACATCTTCCTGGATCCGTCGGTACATAAAGATGGCGTGCTCAGAAGCACTTACCGTTACCGATGTTTCAAGTAACCCTCAGCATACTTATCCTCACCTTCTTTCACTTTTCTATTACATTGAAAACACTCATATTCGTTATCGTGCTCCTAGAGAAAACTCCGTTATCTTCTCGTTGTGTCACTCAAATAGAATGCTCATTGTTCTTTTCTCAAAAACGAATAATCTCGAATTTAAAAATTATTCTTTATACATTGAACAATAAGAAATCATGAAAAAATTTTATGTGGACTTCTTTCGAAAACGTTATAAGAATTTTTTTTTCCATTAGGAAGAGCGAAAATTAATGAATGAAAATGAATAAAAACGATCATCAGCCTATCGTAGCATTAACGTGATACTTTGATGATCGTTAATAAAAGAAAAGAAAAAAAAAAGAACGTAAGAAGAAAGTAATAATAAGATCGAAGAACGAAGAGTTATTTCCTTTTTACGCGTTCAGTCTGAGGATAAAATCTTAAGACGGCTTGATTCATGCGCACATATGTCATTAGACGACAACGAAGCGACGCGCAAAGATAGGAGTAACATGAGAACATCTTTGTTCTCGTCCTCGTCCTCGTCGGTCCCGGGGACTTTTGGTTAAAAGCAGTTTTATCCCTGAAAACCCATTCGACATCTCTCGGTGGTAATGCCTGGGACCGTAGTTCAACGTCGTTAAACTTTTTCATCTACTTTTCAAACTCAAAGCCAAGGAAAGTTTTTCTTACGCTTGTGAGAGTCGACCGAGCCACTACATAAATGCATTCTCTTTCTCTCTTTCTCTATTTTCTTCTCTGTCTTTCTACCTCCTCGCCTCTTTTCTCATTTTCCTTCGATTCTACTATTTCTTTCTCTCTCTTCTCTCTCTTTTGCACAAACACATACATGTACATGTATACGTACACGTACCTTATCTCTCTACCTCTCTTTCTCTCTCATTCTCTCTCTCTCTCTCTCTCTCTCTCTCTCTCTCTCTCTCTCTCTCTCTTTCCTTCTGCTTCTCTTTTCTTCTCTTTCGTGAGCAAAGTTTTCTTCCAACTGCGAAAATACTTCCTCTCCACTTTAGTGCGCATCATTACACCTATAGATTTCATTCTGTTTCCAATTCTCCTAGCAGTCCGCCTTCCACGAATTGTTAATCAAAACTTATTTTACTCCTACTCCTCTTTTTCCTCTTATCCTTCGAGAAACCGCACCATACCACTTCTCACTAGTACTGTGAAGAAAGAAAAAACTTTCAAGCTTTACATCACAAACATCACGATTCGTAAACTATTTTCCGCTATTTTTTAATTTTTTTTTTATTAGGAAGAGCAACTTAAGATCATAATTGATAAAATATATTATTATATTCGATCTTTATTAGTTTTATGAACGAATATATATATATATATATATATATATATATAATAATAATAATAATAATACATGTGTGAAAGATTCAAAAAATAAATGAGATGTAGATACTATAAATTATAGCGTCTAAAAAATCATAAACATTAAGCATGTTGGAAGACCACTTCAACGCTATTCCCTACTTGCTATTGCGTCTGCAAACTTAAATTTAATGATTATAAGTTTAATGTTAATCATCAGATTAAATCGAATTTTATGCTAGTATTTTAGAATTCGCCGGTACAATAACGAGTGAATAGCATGTCCGGTGATCATGACTGGTTACACGAATACGTTTCTTTTTGTTTTTTTTTTCGAGAAGATTGAGGGCGCATAATGTCTCTACCGAAGAAAATACGATTCTCCGTAGGGTGATACTTCTTCGTTTGAAGAAAGCATTCGTTTTTTCGACGGAAAAAGTTACGCGGCAGCCGGCGAAGTCGTCTATAGTTTAAATGATATAGTTTCTCGTATTTGGAGTATCGTACTTGAAAAAAAAAAATTATATTAATGCATTACGATTTATTTATATATAAACAATTTTATTTTATTACGAGCAATTGCAATTAATCTTGAGTAAGGCGGCCATGAATTCGAACATCTACGAGAACTTAAAAAATATTTTATATTTGTCTTGTTCAATTTGAATTATCAAACAAAGATTTATCGTAATAAATAATTTATTTATAATTATTTAATATACGTATAAAGTTTTTCGAGACGCTATATGTAGAATGGTAATAACATCCTTTTTACATGGACTTCGGAAAATAATTTTTTACGCATACTGGTACTATTTAAAAAAAAAATGATAGCCGAAGAAAAGTTGCAGCGCGTAAGTATCGTCGATTCCTTTAACATAGATATCGATGACAAAAGACGTGCTCTCGATTGTCCATCGAAGTATAATGTCAAATTTTACGTTCGATCGAGCGCAGGACACACGAAAATAATGCCAGGGCATTCGAACGTGGCGGAAGGGCGCGAGAAACGATATCGACGAATCCATTTCCCGTTGGCGTTTTTATATTTTATACGATTTTCATGATTTATAGGTAACCCATCGTAAACTTGAAAAGTTCCGTTATCGTGCGAACAAGCAGAAACGACAGCATACCGGTACATTGTTATATATCTTTATTCTCTTTTTATTCTTTTTCTAGGGGAGAAGTACGAGCCGACCCTCTCGGACGATACGTATAAAGTGCAGATGAAGCTTACCATACGTTCCGTTACCATGTCAGACTACGGCATTTACAAATGCATATCGAAAAATTCACTGGGTGAAACGGATGGCAGTATATCGCTTTACCGTAAGTAACGATATTTAATGGTAGAGTCTTTTCAAATTCATTTATCGTACTTCATTCGCCGTGACGTAACTCTTATCTTAATATCTTTGACGGGAAATCATTTATTACGTATATAAATTCTATAATAATGAAAATCATCAAGTCAGAAAAAAAAATATCTCGTACATGTTTTACGTTTTAACTTAATTAATACTACCTATTTGTTTGTTGGATGCAGCTATACAACGTAGATGGAAAATACTAATCGAAAATATTTCATTCGGTGCTATACCAAAATTAAAACTAATATATGTATATAAAGATAACTTCACAATTAAAAAAAAAAAAAATATTTTTTTAATAAAGCCCACATAAAAAATTTTGAAAATTATTGCTGTATAATAGTATTGGAACATATTCAAATTGTTTCGAATAAATATTTACGGTTATTATCTGATTAATTTAATATTTTATTTGTACGATTATTCGATCAATCGATATAAAATACTGTCGAATAGCATTTCTCGTTTGCGATATAAATTTTTCTCACGAATTTTCAATCATTTCTCAAAGAGTGTTCGTTATCGCGAGTAGACTGTTTTTATTCGTATCCTTTCCTTCACGATGGGCCTTTAATTTACGCGTGTTATCAGGAATCGTTAGTTGTACAAAAAAGAATGTAACCGTGGGATGAGAAATTAAGCGTTCGATCGTACAGCCCTTCTCTTTCCATTCTTTAAAGCTGTAAGATAAAGGGCGTCGGGCTCTTTCGAAGACAGCGAGTAAGATATATCGATGGGCTAAAGTCACGGTGAAATGTAGCAATCCCACTGGAAAAGCAACGCGAATGCAACGGATCTTCGATAATCGAAATTCTCACAATCTCGGAATCTAACGATTTAAAATGTCTCGATTAGATATATAAATCTAATCTCGTCTAACACATCGAAAATCTCGCCATTGTCCAGGAAAAAAATAAACATTTATCTTCATGTTTCTTTTTTTTTTCTAATTAAATGGAAATTTCTTTCCATCAAATATATTTGTTACATACAAGTATCTCACTTATGTTTCTATCCAAATCAATTAAACTGTTGTCGTCTAAGACGGATATTTTCTTAATTCTAATCGAATAGAATTGTTTAAAAGAAATCATAGGAAAAAGTTAATTAGGTTTTTAATTTTTATCGATAAGGTTAAATTATAATTACGGTTCACTGCATCAATAAATACACGATAGGAATCAAAAGATGAGAAGAATTTATTGCTTGGTCTTAACAAGCAAAAAAGAAAGATCCGAAAGTACATTATTTGATTTTAATTATCAAACGCATTGATAAATAATTCGTCAATCGATCAATACAATTCTCGTAGAGTCTATATACACAAGCACGTAATTACTTCCGAATTTGTTTCGAGTCTTGCACGATCGGAAATCAAAGGGAAATTGCCATGGGTATCAATAAATTGTAGCTTTGCTTAGGACAAAAAAAGTACTTAGTTCCGTGGAAAGAAACGCGAATCATCGATAATTACAAACTATCGATGCCGTTTATCAGAGAGAAAATCGATCAGATCTGCAGAGATCTATAATCATGGCTTTTCTCTGCTACGCTCTCTGGATTAAGAACTTCTTAGCTTTGTGACGTCGATCCAATACAAAGAGTAAACAGCTTGAATGCTACGGTCGCCCGCAAAGAGCATCGAAAGAAATCCGATTGAGCTATATGGATCACTTAACCCGAATTATCATTTTAAATTGTATTGCGAGACAGAAAATATAGTAATTGAAATTAAACTCACTGATATAATTAAATATATATATATATATATACTATTTGTTTCAAGCTAATATGTTCGTCTAAAATCAAAGAAGATTCGTTAAATAAAAATTGACATTTGTCTGACGGGAAATATCTTATTTTTTTCATATGTAGTTCTTAATTCTTCCTTGATCATGTTAACTAAATCCATTCAAGAGAAATAATTCTTGCTTCACTTCGAGTATCGATAAAATAGATATCAGATACTATTGAATAACTAAAAAAAAAAAAAAAAAAAAAAAAAAAACAAAGAAAAACACCTACTTATAAAAACAACGATTAAAATGAAATTTTTTCTCGAAAAAATAGAATGAAAAACATTTTTTTTTCTTTTTTTTTTTTTTTATAAATAATCTTAAAAAGTGATATAAACAAATATATTAATCCATATTAATCCACAATAAATTAGCCGAAAGAGTTATTCTATTGATAGAAATTTTTTATGATGTTAAAAATATTTCTATATAGGTGATTGACAATAGACCGTAGAAACAATTGTAAGGTACTTTTATTGATGATGTTTATTTGTAAACACGAGAATATTGATAACAGCTACCTGTTTTTTTACACTAAATTGAAATAACATTGAGTGTATACCTTTACGATCCAGGACTTAGTTACGATTTTCTCATATGTGTGAAATGAAAGCAATCAATAGGATTAATTTTTAAATATGAAATTAATGTTTATAGTGGTTTTACATTTACAGATATTCCAACCACCACGACGCAAGTCAAGACCACGACGACGACACCAATGCCCACGATAGCTAAAGGTATTTTAATAATATCTTAAACAGTAATAATTACAAATAAATAATATAATTGAATTATTAATATAATAATATTAATTTCAGTCGAAACTATCCAAAGAATCCGACAGAAGATGCTGCCGAGCATCGAACCGAACTCAAATGAAATAACAGATGCGTCTTTGTCTACTGTAATTAGAAACGAAAGTAGGTATCTAAATCTCTTATTGATATCCGTATAGATATAGTACGATTCTTTCTATAAAATAACAAAAAAAAAAACGAAGTTTCTCAATAAAGGCAATAAAATAATAAACAAATAATCTACCTTTTGTCAAATTGTTTTAAACTTTTTCAATCGATAAAATAGCATTTTGAATTCGATAAAAAAAATTTATTCTTCGCTAGAACTTCCAAACTATCAAAAACGAAATTGCATTTCTGGTAACTTGAACGATGCTGATGACAATGACGACGATGACGATAAAAGGTTTGCAGAAAGTTCGAAAACTGCGCGTGGGATTTTAGTCAAAATCCCGTTGAGAATTCTATTGCTTATTGCCTCGAAAGGAAGATTTACCATTGGTATCTCTTTGCGTTCTTATCATTCTCGTCGTCGTCGTCGTCGTTGAAAGTTTGTGAATATACTGCGAGCAGCTCTCGATGTTCCAAAGAGAAACTTTCCATCTCGAGTACGGTTTTCGTTCATAAGTTTTCGTTTATATCAAGCCAATCACTCAAATCTAAGATTTTATTGAATTTTCAAAAACTAACACCCTAAAATAACTACAAAAGTGAAATTTAGTCAAGCGCCAATTTAGTGCTAAATGAAAAAATGACGAATAACGATACCTTCGATTGATATCAATTTCTATAAATTTTTATTTGATTTTTATTTGTTCAATTAACACATGCGTTGAATTACCTATACATATATAAAAATTTACTGCTTGTACGCTTGTATTTATTATTTGCACGAATAAACTTAAGAAAGCAATTAAAATTGTTCGATTGGCATCCTGGGATGTACGAGAATGTTTTTTGCTATTCAAAAAATCAAAAAAGCAATCTACGAACTTTCTAGTATTTGTGTAGGTAGATTCCAATTACAAACGGAGTCATAGAGTAAAAATCGTACTTCAAGCTACTTAAGTTCTCGTACCTTTACGAGAAAATATCAAAGTTCATTTCTCTATTTAGTTTATTAATTATCAACTTTCTCTGGAAATTAAAAAATTCTATTTCTTTTATAAAATTGAACTTTTTATCACTTTTACAAAATATAAAGAACCGTAATTAGTTTCGTTTTTTAAAATAATTTTAGTTTTCTATAAATCGATCGATACAAATTTTAATAAAAATGAATCTTTCCAGATACACGAATTGATGGACGATATAACAACAATGACTACATCAATGCTGAGAATAAAATCGATAAGAATGTTCAACGAAAACAACCTTCAAACAAAGACGTGAATCATCGCAGAATTGATAACACATCACGATCATTATCCTCGAGAGGAGATAGGCTATATGCTTTTTTACAACACAGTATAATAATCTATACAGTTCTATTATCTATCCTTTCGTAGTCAGTTTTTAGATACTTTATGTCCACAAAATACGAAGACGTTTCGATTAATTGGACTCTTTTGATTGGACCTCGTCTTCACGCACTATCATTCCTTTTTCATTAGCAAACGGGATCAATTTATCTTAAGTATGGATACGATCGTCGATATCCATGCTTTTTTTCTATTGTTTATAAGAAGAGAAAAGAACCATACATAACAATAAAACTTTCGTGAAATTAAAGAAAAAAATTATGTATGTCATGGTTCAAAATTATATTCTTTCCAAATGTACGTTATAGTAATTTCTATCAACATCCTATAATTTTTAACATCGAAATACCTAATCTCATTTATTTAGAGAAAATGTATTGGTTATATTTTGAATCATTTTTCTATTAATGTTTAATACTGCACTTGGTTCAACATTGTTCCTATTACGACGAAAACGTTATTGTTAATTAGATATCCAGGAGTAATTTATAAAAAAAATTAGAGGATGATATTTGTATAAAAAGTTATATGACAATCCAGAAAAGTGAAATTTTAGTAACAACGAAACTATAACATACGTTATTACTCGAAATGATATTGAAAAAATAATATTATTTTGTTTCATTTTATATTTTAAATAATAAAAAAAGATAAATTTGTTAAGTCTTATAATTAACTAATCTTATCTGTATTGATAATTTATTTTCATTAATCGATATTTTCTTAGATCATGTTTTCAATTAATCTCGGCCTAATCTTTCCTAAAGACAGAGAATCTTATATTCGAAATGAAATAATCACAATATTAAAAAGCCTAATCAATCCACAACTATGATATTTCACTATAATTGTGATGCAATTATAAGAAATATACACAAACATAATAAGTGAACGTGAAGTTAGAGATAAAAATTCTATATGTCGTTTTTCATGATTATACTTTTTTTTTTAAATGTATGGTATAGTAATTTCTATTATAATATTATAATTATTAAAGTCGAAATGTAATATCACATTTTCTTTTAATTACATCACATAGTGAGAATTATGAGGATGAACTTTGGAAACAATGAAAAAAAAAGTAAAAATTCCGCTGAATTCAATCCTCTTTCTAATTATCAGCAGCCTCTATCTTGCCATACAACGGACGGATAAAATTGTATGTAAATGTAAATCTTGTTGGAAATAGTGTACCTTTAAAGATGTACACATACATATCTCATTTACTTGAGATAATCGATTTGTCGAATGTTTCTGCGGAAAAAAAAATGGAAACTTGTATATTTGACAATGATTGTAACGATTTAAATACCACTGTAAATAACGATTAGATATATATATATATATTAGAAATCTACGTCGACGCCGACCACGGTGTTAATTGAATGAATATTAATAATTTTGTACATAAATTACTGATTCGCGCGTGTGTGGATAGGATAAAATTATCGATAAGGGAAGGAACATTAGCATGACGTAATTTTTAGAGTTCCATTTTTTAAAAAGTATCTTCGACTTTTCACGAAGACTATTGACGTTGATAGTTTTATCCTACGATGTATGTTCATCTCGTAGATAGGTTCAACTGTAAATATAAGTACCAAAAAAAAAAGAAATAAAGCAAATAATGTCTTGTAATATCGGAATTTTATGTAATCCGAAATACATTTAACGAGTAAATATTTGTAAATAGACCAAAGCATCGTAGTATGTGATCTTTTTAAGATTGATTATTTTGCTTTTACGTCGCGCCATTATCCGTCGTAGCCGACCGTCAACATAACCGAATGAAAAAGAACCAGTGAGCTTTATTATCGCTTTATAATTGTATATGGAAATTTGCATACCGTCAGATTTTTAAGTAGATCGATTATGAACGCTAAAGAGAAGGGACAAAACTTACGGAGTAATTTAAAATATATACATTATTCATTGTACTGTAACTGGAAATTTTGGGCGAATGTTGAAGTATGAATAAAGATCGAATGTTAAAGTTTGAATGGTTATTTTTTACGATTTTATCATTTCCCTGATATATCGTAATTATATTTCTAAGTAGAATTCAAAAGTTTCGAAGAAAAACTAAAAGCATTTTTTATTTCTCCTTTTTAATATTTTTCTAAAAAGAAAGGTATATCAATGAAATAATGTAATAAGATTGCATTCATCTCAAGTATCCATATATAGAACAATGTTCTTCTTTCAAATGTACTCGTTTTATTCTTCTTAACTCTCATGTACTTATTTGTATTTTATTTTTAAGCACTTGTATCAATTCAGCTTTATTACAAATTTTACATTTACTCATCACAATATATTACGCACACTATTCTTGCACGATACGATGTTATCTACAATGCTGATGATACAAAAGTAGGTAGTGTTCTGTATAGAATTTTTGTTTCAGTTACATCGTTCGATAGTTCCACTTGTCATAAGTAGTGCTATCGATCAACAAATATTGAGGAATCATTCGCATGTTCGTCATAAAGATATTATATGAAAATCTGTCGAATTGATTCATTAATTGTTAAATAGATACTCGCAACATTAGCTTTTTTTACATTATGATTTTACGACAATCTAAAGATATCATTACATATACATTTGATTAGATGATAGGAAGCAAATAAACGTGGCATTTGGTTAGTGCTAAAATGATGAAAAATCGATGCTAAAAGTAATCTTCTCAAGTAATATTTCTTGCCTATATAAAAATAACACTTATCACTGGCTTCGTTTTTATACAAGTCAGTTTCAATGAGGAACACAGATAATTGATATGTATTTTATCTGTTAATTAGTAAGAAATTTCTGATCTAACACGTTACATCATGAATATACGGACAAAAAAACAACGAATAATTGTATTGCTTCGGTAAGTGCTTTTGGCTTTATGATTCGTATAATTGAAACTTAAATTGTATAGTTGAATTAAACAAAATACATCCAGAGATTTGATAATTGTAACTTATGATTTTCGCCTTACACATTATCTTTGTTTTTTTTATTTTCCACCTACTATTGTCCGATAATGTAAAGACTTACGAGGTCAAATCCATCAAATATTATTCGCGCAATACTATAAAATTATACGAATATTTATAACTTATAATAACTTCTTGAGAGTACGCATATATAGAACCAATTTATTGGTTTCATTTCCATCGTGCGTTTAGTATCAAATGTTTCATAATGAACACTGATAGTTTTGTATTTCAATAAATTATCTTGATTTTCTTTAAAGCATACCGTTTTAAGGTTTCTATTATGTGACAAAAACATATTATTTGATAATTAAATTAATTTATAAGATTATAATGATATCGATACGAAATTCAGACATAATCTGTTTCGCCTACTACATTCTTTCTCACGCAAGCACATATACACGCATTTCGTGCTACTTTATCTATATACAAAACGTTTAAAAATTTCACGTCATCGAGCAATTCGATAGGAATGAGCCGTTTTGCTTTGAATACATCATACATGGTTATTGTGATATACTTCCTGATATAGATCGAATTTAATTATTCAACAATTTTCATACATATAGATACGAAAAAGAATCAATTAATAAAGAAAATAAAAAACAAATAGCAAAATTAAAGTTCATTGTAAAGAACGGCTCATTGTAAAACGACTCATTATAAAGAACCTCTCATTTTCCTAAAATTATTCGCACATTTTCGCATTGATTATGACAATATTTACTTATTCTAATATGTACAATACTTGCGTCGGTGTTTGTGTGTGTATGTGTCCGTACGCGTACAAACGATAAAACCTAAATTAATGACTTATCGTTCGAACAAAGCGTCGGTCATCAATCACCGAAATGATTAAAAGGGCACATTTGTTTTAAAAAATCATCCTCTCATTACAGTCTTCTTAATTATTTCTTTAATTATATCTATTAATGAACAGCCTCATTCTTTCGGTGAACTAAAAATTATCTGGGAATTCGTAGGAGGTTTTCGTAGTGCGATTTGAAGCATTGACTGTTATAATCCGAGTTTTGTGTACATTGGCTAATTAGTATATTAGTAGATAAATCTATACACAGTATTTTCCACGCTTATCGTTTTTTTGCTATCAATTATTACGTGTACATGTGTAAAACAACACGGTAAGTCGATAGAGTATCGTCGTCCTCGATCAGTACCATAGTTCTCTCTTTACAATATATCTTTTTCAAAGTCATGCGACGATTTTTCTTTTCGTTGAAGTTCTATCGCTATTTTTTTTTTCCATATATCAAATAAATTATCTTAGTTGATCGTTCTTTTATTTCACGATGATGTCACCATGTATACATTAGCCTTTCGACTAATGTGAGACTAATTAATTGGATTAATTAGACATCATAAATTACTTCTAAGGTGTTTCACTTAGGAAAGCCGATTACTTTCCTTGGTTCCTTTAATCGTTTATAGAAATTTCATTTTAAATTATTAATTTGATCATTCATAATATTTTTCGTATGTCACATTGTTAGAGACTCATACGACTTAATAAAAAATTTTTTATTTAAGGAACCTGCAGCGTGTAGTCGAAAATGAACTTTAAAATAATCAATTTGCATTTTTTTTCCGAAAGACAATAACATTCTTCCCTGATCAAACATTCTTCCGTTCTTAAACTATCGATTAACTCACGTTCTTCGATATATTGTATTTTTTTTGGAGAAGCGTCTCTTGAAATTTCGAAAGAAAAAAAAAGAAGATTGTTTAAAAAGGACGAGCACGGAAAAACACGGGCTGATGGCAGTCGAGTAGCTATAAGGAAGGATTCTACCTTCGAGAAAAACCTTCGGTCGCTTCGCTAACGAATAAACTTGCGAGATCTCGATAAAGTAAGATAACAAGTTGTTCTCGAAACTCGCCAAGAAAATGGACCACTATTTCGTGTTACTTGTCTCCTACACATTCTTATAGATTAATACATTATAATACAAGCGAACGTCTGTGGTCAGCATTAATCTTGAATTAAAGTCCCTGAGCGGTAATTTTGACAAGAGGATTCGCCAAGTTCCGTGACGATTCGCAAGAATTCGCCATGGGAGTACGACGATATGCTGACCAGGAGCGTGATATGACTTTCAAGCAGGATGAAGTGTCCTAAATGGTAGACGATGGTTGAGGCACAAGGTCAGTATAATGGTTACTACTAGTAAAAGTACCGAACTTTTCCTCGTCGTCGAACTCGAATCTTCGTAATCATCAGTCCCATCGCTGTTCTTCTTTCGGCTACGAAGTTTTAAATCTAAAAATATGTAATTATTCTTTAATATCAATCATTATTTTGATATATGTTTTACATCATCTTATCAAGATATAGTAATTTCCTTTTTTATATGATATATATATTTTTTTACGTACCTCGTTCCTTTAACATATCTTGATTTCCTTCGAGAATATTGTTCCCAGAATTTTGTCTCAGTTTTCCTGCAAACGAATCAATTGAATACTCCACTTATTGTTTACTTTGGCAAATTAGCTATTACTACTGTAACTATGAAAAATACTACATGTCGTGCTGGATAATTAAAATATGTAATTTTCATACGATCGAATAATAGCGATAAAAAAATTAACGATAAATTATCGTTTTATCAATGTCAAGTTTTTCGCAAATTTATAGATACTGTGAAATTTTTCCCTCCAAAAGAAATTCCAATAAATAAGAAGTTATTCGAATAAATTTTGACACTGTACATTGGAGGACCAAATGGAATTTTTGCCGGAAGAGCTGTTTCAGTTTATACATAATGTAATTTATAAATTCGTTTATTTATACAAGCTAATTTTCCGAACAAAGTACGACTAAAATTAAATTCCGTGAATAAATTTTAATGAAAACTTTGACGAACGTAATATTGTCCTCCATTTGATTCGTGCAATTATTGGTACTGTTTTCTTCCAACTCTAAGATTCTTCCAACCAAACGAGTACTCTCTCTTTCTCTCTCTTCAAAGCTTAAATTTCACAGCTTCTTGGTTGCGTACTCGTCACTTAATTAAATTCTACTGAACTAATTAAAGTCTTTCTCCTTCGGTATGATAGAACTATAAAATACTGTTATTTTTATTGACACAATACTTGTAGATTCAGCAAGTTGTTTTTATATTTCTTTTCTTTCTATCTTCATTTAAGAACACATCTTTTTTATATGTATAAAATTAATATTTTATACATATAAAAAAATAAATATAAATAAATATTTTTTATATGTATAATGAGATAAGAATATGAATGAGAATATCCTTACTAAACAAAACTATCGTATATTATACATATATCAAACATATAATGAGATAAGAATATGAATGAGAATAATATTTTATACATATAAAAAAATAAATATAAATAAATATTTTTTATATGTATAATGAGATAAGAATATGAATGAGAATATCCTTACTAAACAAAACTATCGTATATTATACATATATCAAACATTAATAATATTCTCGAATATTGCTAATTTAAATTTCACTCTCATTCATGCAATTTCGAAGATTATTTATTACTTGATAAATATATTTTTAATTTATTTTTCATTTATTACAAATGATGTCATATATAAATTATTAAAAATATTTCTGATGATCTTTCAGAGTTCTTTCCGCACTTTCAGAAATTACAATAAATTTGTTGTGAATTCCTCATGCGTATATTTTCAACGAACTGCTCTCTCCGAGGGATAGGGTCGAATAAAATTGACCCGTAACAACAAACCGGGTCTATAAATCTTCCATCGTACACAACGTCGCTTCCCAATCTGTTAGCATCAAAATATTTTGCATATATCGATTTCCGGTCGATTCGAGTACATACACGGAAAGTAGGATAGTGCTAGAACCCATCCACTGTAATAAATCTTGGATTTTTCATCGGATCTTCGTAGGAAGAGATCGACGAAGAACTGAAGCGTATAATGCGGTGAAAGAATATTCACAAATATTTTGTCATATTATAAGATTTTCACGATCAGT